TTAAGAAAAAAGAGAAGAAGTGATATTGTGAATGTTCTTGAAGGGTACAAGAAAATAGAGTCCACTTAAAAATAAAATGATCATTTTTTAATGCATTTTTAATCAAAAAAAATTATGTACTCTTCATTGCATAAGTTAAAAATAATCAATAAATGAGAGCAAACCTCTCTTAACGTATGGTTATTGTTTTAACTATTGCATGGTCATTGTTATATGGCAAAATATTGTGCCCACATAAATTATTAAATTATTAATAATAATAATGTTATTGATTCTGGCAGTACTAACGTATGCCCTTCGCCCCCCCCAACGTTATACGGAAACGGCGTTGCCCACATCGGTCTTAGTATTGACTATTTGAGGAATTTTTATTTTATTTGCCTTCTTTTTCTACTTCCAATTCCAAGAAATTTCACGAGGCGACCGCCGACCGGTTAACAGGCCCCACCTCTGAATACTCGTTGCGCACCCCTACTATAAATAAGCACTTATAGTTGTGAAGGAAATCTCAGCTCTGAGCGTTTCATTGTTTTTTTAGCTTCGAAAATCCTTAGCGCAAGCACTTGCATATTCCTGCCTTTGAAGTTTCCAACATTCTTTTAACTGTTTACTTTCTCGTATATTCCTCCCGAGTTGCAATTTTTTAAGTACATATGGCTGCAAACCTTAGAAATCAAAACCAGTTGTTGTCTAAAATGGCTATTGGTGATGGGCATGGGGAAAATTCTCCTTATTTTGATGGGTGGAAGGCGTACGACGAATATCCATACCATCCCATAGACAGACCTGATGGAGTTATACAGATGGGTCTCGCAGAAAATCAGGTAAAGATGGCAACTTGAATTTTCTGGTCCTCAAAGCAAAGGTTTATAAGGGGCACAACTAATTTTTATCTTTGTTCTGTGAATGCAGCTTTGCTTTGATTTGATTCAAGACTGGCTTATGAAAAACCCAAAAGCCTCCATTTGTACGCCAGACGGTGTATTAAATTTCAAGGATACTGCTATCTTTCAGGATTACCATGGATTGCCAAAATTCAGAGAGGTATGGCTCTTAAAGTTAAAACCCTTAATAACTTCTTGTTTCTTTGATCAATTCGATTAATGGAGACAAATCCCATATTGTTTATGGCGCAGGCTATTGCAAAATTCATGGGGAAAGTGAGGGGAGATAGAGTAAAATTTGATCCTGACCGTATTGTCATGAGTGGTGGAGCAACCGGAGCTCAGGAGACGATTGCCTTTTGCTTGGCCGACCCAGGGGATGCATTTTTGGTTCCTACTCCTTTTTATCCAGGGTAATGCATCATTTCATTTACCATAGATTTTAATTAATTTTTGAAGTATATTGTTAGTGTTTCAATGGAAAGGACACATATAGAAAGATGGTATTGAACCAAAATTTAACTGGTTGGTAGAGCTATCCATCTCCCTTCTCGTACTTTATTAAGGATATGATAACCGCCCACATGAGCCAGGGAAGGAGGAAATAATAGGTATTAGGATCAGACTGGTAATAAATAAATCTATTTTTTAGTGTAATTAATACAAGGTGTCTTAGTCAACTGTATATTGGTCATATACCTACCACTAATTTGAATGGTCCACACCTTAAATCCTAGTTAGTTCTTGACTTTAGTTGTCCTCCAACATCCCACCTTTGAGTTATTGTTGGGGTCATGATGAGAAGGACCAGAAACACGGCTTCTCTTACATTTGTTGAAAATTTCAGAAGAGTGTATAGGTTTGAAGGAAAGACAACGATTGAACACTGCTTTGAAGAAATTGAGGCTCATTGGTCACGGAGGAGCTAATAAAAGAGAATGATAGTAGGATAAAGCTTAAATAAGTCCCCTAAGAAAATAAACAATAATAGCAAATGAGAAGACTAGGGACTTAGATGGCTGTAGATTTTGATTTTGTTTTCCTTGCTTCTTAACTAACTACATTCGATGTTTCATTGCAGTTTTGATAGGGACTTGACCTGGAGAACAGGAGTCCAACTTGTTCCTGTTGCCTGTGCAAGTTCAAACAATTTCAAGATCACCAAAAGCGCCCTGGAAGCTGCTTACGGAAAAGCACAGGAACTTAACATCAGAGTGAAGGGTTTGCTGATAACCAATCCATCAAATCCATTAGGTACCATCTTGGACAGAGAGACGCTGAAAGGGATAGTAAGGTTCATAAATGAAAAGAACATACACCTTGTTTGTGATGAGATTTATGCTGCAACTGTCTTCACAAATCAGCATAATTTTGTCAGTGTTTCGGAGGTTATAGAGGAAGATACTGAATGCAATCGCAACCTCATCCATATTGTTTATAGTCTTTCAAAGGACATGGGGTTACCAGGCTTCAGGGTGGGAATTGTCCACTCCTACAATGATGCCGTGGTGAATTGTGCCAGAAGGATGCCCAGCATTGGACTAGTATCCTCACAGACTCAGCATTTAATTTCAGCGATGCTATCTGATGATGAGTTTGTTGATAGGTTCATTGCAAAAAGCAAAGAGCGGCTAGCCACGAGGGATAAGGTCTTCACTGAGACACTTTATCGGGTGGGTATTGATTGTTTGAATGGCGATGCTGGCCTCTTTAAATGGATGGATTGGCGTAGGCTTCTCAAAGATCAGTCCTTTGAGGCAGAAATGGAGCTATGGAGAGTGATAATCAATGAAATCAAGCTCAATGTTTCTCCTGGTTCTTTTTTTCATTGCTCAGAGCCAGGTTGGTTCAGGGTTTGCATTGCCAACATGGATGACAGCACCATGGAAGTTGCCTTATCAAGAATTGCAGACTTTATGCGTCAGAACAAGGATCAGAGAATACGGAGGTCAAGATGCCTGCAAGGAAACCGTGCCAACAAAGCAGCCTTTAAACTTAGCTTATCTCGAGGAAAGGTGGAGGATTTCATGTCACAAATTAATATGTCCCCGCACACTCCTATTCCTCAATCGCCTCTTGTTCGAACCAGGACTTAGCTCGAGCAGCTCCATCAATATGCAACTGAGGGAAATATTAAGCCCTTCCCATTTTTCAGACTAGGTCTTAATTTAATGACATTATTTTTAATTTGTATTAAGTTGTAACTAAGTTGGGGCCAATGCATTCTTTCCCGTGGAGAAAACCTGTATACAATCCTGTAAAACATACAGGACTCCAAGGGTTCATTCATCACCATCCATTTTCTTCAACTAGTGTACTATTTTTGCCTTTCTTCACAAGCAAATTGTTAGTGATGAAGAAGGTTTTATTGCTTTCCTTCAACAGTGAATAAAATGAAGAATTTATGCCGCTCAAGTCCTTGATTATCCAATTTGAGGTTTGAATCTTAGAATTATGTTTGAGAAGAACCTGATAACAATATAGAACTCTGTAAACGCCAACGTTATCCCTGGAGTTTCATCTATTTGTCCTTCTATTCATTTTTTAAAGTTGCATAATATCTAGACAGCTGTTACCATAACAAGAAGTTTGAGATCCTTAGTGGAGACCTTGCATACATAGACAACTCTGTAAAGTTGCATATATAGACAGCTATTACCCACAGTGGAGATCTTGGATTTTTTTGAACAGATTACAAATGATCCTAACTTTCTATGGAGGAAGAGGGAATGTGGTCAACTCAAACCTGGGTGTTCTCACTTTAAATGGCAAGTAAGAACCACTTGATTCAAACCTACGAACCACAATGGTGATCTTGGATTAGGTTGACCCACGGTGGAAAAGGTCATGGGTTAAAATTTTATTGGTCATTTGCAAAACGCGTGCAGAGTACGGGGGAGGAAACAATGTCTACTAAAGTAGTAAAGTTAGGCTAGTTAGCTCTAGAGACCTCTCATCAGCATGAAAATGACCATTCCAACTTTAAAAATTCACCAAACAGTATTCAAGGGTTTTCTTTTTACAGACTCAGGTTACCGCTAAGAAAATCTGCTTTGGTTGCCCCATTTGCAGGCAGCTGACTGGAAAAAGAACAATTTCTAAAATTAAGTATTTAGAATCTTCAACAATGAATTTTAGACCATACAAGTTGTTACATAACTAGGAGTGTTTATATCTTATTCAATTCAATTTATTCAATTCAAATTGATCCAATCTAATTAAAAATCAAATCTTCTCGCTGTCGTTGCTAGGGTTTTCCCTCTCCGATAGATGAGCCTTTCACTTCGGTGCCTCTCCCTGTTTTTTCAAGGTCCCTCCTCTCTATTTCTTGCGTTTGTCTCGATTCCCTATTCCCTTCTTGGATTTGAATCACATATTGGCTTGGGGAGGTCTCAGGGAGGACTCTATGATTTCAGATCTAAAGCAGCTTTGTGTCTTGCACACGCCCAGCATCATTTTCCTCTCTAAAACAAAGCGATCCACTATTGCGATGCATCTGATTTGTTTAGATCTAGGGTTTGCATACAATTTTGCCGTTGATTGGGTCGGTAGAAGGGTGGATGGCTCTGCTTTGGACAAATGTTTCTCAACTGAAACAATCCTTTGTTTCACAACCCCCTGTTGCTATTGTAATTGTTGATTCAGGTGGTTGTCATTAGAGGTTGATTGGGGTTTTTGGCCGAAAGCAGGAGGAAAGGAATGCGGTTGGTGAAGCTGATGGTGTTTTGTAAGGAGAGAGGGGAGAACGCTATTCCAGTCGCTAAAGGGCCTCTTGTTCCCTTAATGAATTTTGACAACATGGGATTAAAGAGGATTGGAACAGTTAGGGCCATGGTTAGGAGCTCATGGAGACAAGGGAGGTGCCTGGGCTTGGATGGAGGACCATGCCCCTCATGTTGATTATTCCTCAATGAATAGATAGGGCGGCAACTTGTGGGTTAGGGACTGTTTGTTGCCAAAATCCCTTGCTCTTCCCATGAACTGGTTAAATAGATGAGGACGTCCAATAGCTTCCAATGCTCATAGTGACTCTCATTTCTACATTAATAGCTACATTAATAGCTCTATTTAATCCATACAATGATTGTAATCACAATCTCTAGTTGCAGATAACCCTATTTACTTAATTGTTTATATTCGTTATGAGCATAATTTAAATCTATTACTACTGCTATAGGTTATACTTCTGATTTCTGTCTTTAAGATATGCTGCTTTAGGTTATATTGCCATGAGATGAAGACTTACTCTTTAATTTTTTTATTATTTAATATATTTTTCTATTTCCTATCAAAAAATAAAATAAAAATCAAATCAATATAAAATTGGATTAGTTTAAATTATAAAATTTTAAAATCAATATAATTGGTTTAATTTGTAATTTTACTTTTAAATTACCCAAATCGTCCAATTATAAGATAAAGTCTGATTACAAAATAACTTAATTAAATAATATAAAGGGTTAATGCTTATCTGTTTTATCTCCTAAAGATTAAGAAAAAAATTATTTTAAAACTACATTATTTTAATAAAACACTACAAGAAATGACAAAAAAAACATTGTATTTTACTTTTTTTTAATAAAAATTTATTAAAATAATGTAATTTTAGAATAATTTCCTTTTAATCTTTAGTAGTAGGTGGATCTGCGATATTACCATAATATAATATTTTTTTGTAGTATTTTATTTTTTTTCTTATTTCGCAATATAATAACTTCATTAATTTAATTAAAAAATAAAATGAAGCATCTCAATATTTCTCAATTTATTTTTCCTTGTTAATCATGCATTCTAATTTTAATTCTAAATTTATAATTTGCTACAACTCTATTTCTCAAAACTGGCATGCGATTCTACTTTTAAAATTATAAATTTCTAATTTGTTTCTAAAATGATATTTTAATTCTCCTAATTAAGCCTTAGAAAAGTATTATTTTAGAAGTTATAAAACTTCATAATAAAACTAGTTTTGATATTCTACTATTATTAAATATGTGGTTGAGGAATTTTAAATTTCAATTATGAATGCTTTCAATTAATTTTAGTGATATTTATTTTAAATTTTATTCACCTTCAATAGGGTTTAGGAGATGAGATTGAGTCACTAATACGTAAAAAAAAAAAAATATATATCTAGTTTTAATTTTTAAAAATTACTTATATTATACTTAAAACTTGAAATCATTTTTTATTATCTTTGGTGTCTTTGGTGATATAGTGAAGAAGAATTTTCAAAATTTTTCAATTTTTGCAATTGTAAAAGAATAAAAAAATTTGTTTATAATTTATGCCTTTCTTAATTATGTTTTTATTGGTGTAAACGTTAATATCTTTTATAGTTATATTTTTTATTTAATATTAAAATTTTTTACATTATTTTATATATTTAATAATATTAAAAATTGATCAATATGGCTAAACCTCATTGACTCAATTAAAATTAAATTAGATTGATTTAAAAATTTTATTAATTAGTTAAATTAAATTAACTTATAAAAAATATTAAAATTCAAATCAAACCATACGGTGAACTCCTAACAGGAACCCTGAATTGTGTTTGACTTTTTAACAGAGTTTCCAAAATAGTAAAATGCAAGATAATTGAACGCGCTCCACTGGCTTCATCCTGTCTTTGAGTGCTGACCAAGAAAGACGTGATAAAAACTCGTTCAGCCATCATATTTTACCAAACATCAACAAAAATTAATCCAAACATAAACTGTTCCAAATATAAATAGAAATTAATTCAATATAAAATAACATACTTGTTCCAAACATCAGCAAAAAATTAATCCAACATAAATAAAATAACTAAATTAACATCTAGTATGAAGGGAGGCAGTCAAGAGCCAACTCAAAACACCTTAGTTCTTAAAATCCACAATTACTCATAAAAAAACCTACAATACTATTAGTAAATACTTCATGTTAACATATTTATAGAAAAACTATTTATAGAATTGCTTGTGGAGCTTAAAATGATCGATCAACACTTTGTTCTTGTGTATTAGACATTTATCAACTAAAAATAAATTAAAAAAACAGTTATACCTTTATATTGAAATATAAAATAAACTTGGATTTCTCTAGTTAATGGAAATTCTTCCCTTTCACAATTTCACGAGAATTCACAATAAACTCTAAAAATTAAATAGACAGCCAAGCATTCACAGTTTTCTCAATTTCTTGATTTTACTAGAAGCTACTATACTTTTTTATGTTATATGTAAATCAGTATACGTAAAGAAATTAACTAGGCAATTCATTAATAGAAATGGCTATGAGCAGTCAATAAATCTAGCAATATCTAGAAAGTCTAGACTTTCTCTATGTTAAATCAACCCATAAACAAATTATTTAAATTCTTACTGTTTGGATCTCTAGCTTGTAGCCGTAGGTGGAGTGGTCCGGCAATAGAGATAGTTCAGCAGCTCAGCAATAGTAGCAGAGGCAATTCAACAGTCCACAGATTGACTTCGACTTAGATTTCGACTTTGAGCAGCAACGGTGCAGCAGCGGTGCAGAAGCGGTGCAGCAGGGGATTTAAGGTTTGAGATTCGTAGGGGACGGCCAAAGGGGAAGGTCAAAGGTGACCTAAGTGAGACACATAGAGAGTCTGAGAGTGAGAGGAGGCAGAGGCAGTGTGAGAATTGGAGAAATGAATTTTATTAGGGTTAATTAGAATTAAAATGATTGGGTTGGGTTAGGTTGAGTTGGGTTGGGTTGGGTTGAAAAAAATTGGGTTAAATTTTATTGAATTAGGTTTAGGTTTGAAAATTATATTGAATTTAAAATGAAATTAATATATATATATATTTTTTTTAAATTTTTTGCAGGATGGGGATTCCCATGGGGTGGGGAAATTCCCCGTGAAATTTCACAGGGGGAAAATGACCTCGGTCCCCACCTCGCAGGGAGGAATATTCATCCCCGTCTCGTTCCTGTGGCGAGAATCCTCGCGGGACCCTATAGGAATCGGGGCAAATTGCCACCCCTACTCCTAAACTTATAATATAAAAGTTTTAACTCCTTATTTTATTGATTATAAGAGTATCAATCTCCTAACTTACAATATGAGAATTTTAACCCTTCATATTTTTAGTTTAAATGAAAAAACTCAAAATGAATTATGACATTGTGTACTTGTTAAATTTTGTTACCCATTGCCATGTCAGCACCTATGTGACAATTCCTTGCCATCATGTCAAGAACATAGTTTTCTATTTTTATTAGACTTGATAAAATTAGATTTAATTCAAAAATTTGACCCAACTTATTTGCTATGAATAAGGTCATGGGTTTAAACCTCTAAGGCATCAATCTAGAATCAAATATAATCTAAACCAAAATTACTTGAACCTAACTAAGTTGAGTCGGAGTTGAGTCGAGTCAACTTAAATGATTTGAGTATAGTTAATTAATTTTTTTTTAATTTAAACTTTTGATGAAGTATACTTTTAATTTTAATTTTTAAGTATAAAATAAAATTAAGTACTATAAAATAATAATTATTTATTAAATTGTCAGTGTTAATATTAATTTAAAAGATTTTTTTGATTAAATAATTGATTAATATTAAAATTTTTAAAGAAAATTAGAGAAAATTTTTAAAAATTTTAATTTTAATTTTAATTTCAATTTTTAAAAAAGTTAAGTTTACTTGATCCAATATGAGATTTTTATGGATGAGTCATAAGTTTACTTCTTTAACCTAAAATCTGAAACAACCAAACTTAAAATCCGAGGTGATCAAATCCAAACTCAATGAATAGACCTATTTGCCAAGTTTAACTTTTATTATCCCCGATGGCAATCCATGATGGTAAGAAATTGTCATGTTGGCGTTGACATGGTAATGAGTGATGGAATTTTAACGAGCATATGATACTGCCATCCATTTTGAACTTTTTCATTTAAATTGAAAAAATTAAGAGTTAAAACTTTCATATTATAAGTTAAGGGGTTGATACTCTCATAGTCGGTAAGATAAGAGGTTAAAACTTTCATATTGTAAGTTAAGGGGCTGAGACTCTCATAATCAATAAGGTGGGGGGCTGGCCTAGATTTTCACCCATTTTGAATTGTAGAAGAATACTTCGAACAAGAAAAACAGTAATGCTGTTGTGCGAGAATGCGACTGAGAAGTGACAACCACGCATGTGGCACATGGGACGGTGATGGCGACACCCACACGCATTGCCTTGTGAAAGAAAATCAAGGTTAAATGCTCATTTTGATCCCTCAACTTTATTGATTTGCACATTTTTAGCCCTTAAAGTATTTAATGCACTTTTTTAATCTCTTAACTCTAAAAAATGCATAATATTGGTACCTCTATCAATTATTTGTGACATGACAGTTAAAAAATTCCACAGTAGCATTTTTTTAAAAAATTTTTTATGGCATGGCAATAACACATCATATAATTTGATTACATGTACAAATAAAAACTCCGACTCACATACCAAATTAGATTAGCATTTATATTTTTAATAAAAAATTAAAAAACCACAAATTTACCTTAATACCCCTATCTCCCTTTCTTGATCCATCTTCTTCCTTTCTTTCTTCTTTTTCTTTCTTCCTCTTCTTCCTCTGTGTTGTTGGGTTCCCTCAAACCTAGTTGATCTGAGTTCAAGGGTGAACCCAGCTCGGGTTAGATGAAACCCAGTTTGCTGGATTCCACCGAACTCGGCTTCACTTTTTTTTTTTTTGTTATATATTTGTTGTGAAGAGTTTATGCAAATTGCAAGTTGTGAGGGATTTTTGGGATCCTTTTGCTTCATATTTCCTAACTATTGTCTAAATGATTTCAATGTTCAAAATGGAAAGAACGGCATCGATGATGGAAAGAACAAAAGCAGTGACCATGGGCAAAGAAGCAATTTTTAGTGGGTTTCCATTTGCTTGGCTAAAAAATTGTACAGTTTGAGTGTTTGAATGCTAAGAAAATGGTTTCAATTTGTTTGGTTGTCGAGAAAATTGTAATGTCTGTTAAGAAAATTTGATGAAAAAATTTTGATTTAATTATAAATTAATTAGAATCTTAATTTTGATTAACATAAGTAATTATAATTTAATGATGATTAATTAGTGAAATCTGACTTGACACCATTTTTTATCCATATAAACATTTAGATTTAATTTAATTTGCTACATCATTAAAAAAATATAAAAAATGTCACGTAATTTGTCACGTCATTAAAAATATATATAAAATGTTATGTGAATGGAGTTAACGGCATAAATTGACAGAAGACCAATATTATGCATTTTTTAGAGTTGATGGATCAAAAAAGTGCATAAAATACTTTAGGGACCAAAAATGTGTAAGTCAATAAAGTTGAGGGACCAAAAATGAGCCTTTAACTGAAAATCAATCAATCTTCTTTGATTTCTAATTAATTTTGGGAAAGAATGATCGATGATGCCGTGTGTTGATTGAGATAAAGATCGTTTTGTTTTACAATTTCATGAACCGTTATTATTTGTTGGTTTTAATTTATCGAATTATATATTTATAGTTATATTTAATAATTAATTATTAATTATTGATTATCAAAAACTTACAAGAATATTTTTTTTGTTTGCATTTTATTGTGCAATGATAAAAGTTTAGGAAAAATAAAAAAATCCCCCATATACTACCACCAGCATTTTATAAAAATAATAAAATTTAAAATAGAAATGCAAACGAAAACATTTTTTTTTCAATACTCTCAATGTGATGAATTGATTTGTTGTTAATTTTAAATTTAAATAATTAATTTTGACACACATTAGGTGAGCTAATGGTAAAGAAATATATGTCACACCACATGTGCTAATCATATCATGGGTGTTGGTGTTTTTTTGTTTTTTTTTTATTCAAAAGGTTAAATGCTCATTTTGGTCTCTCAACTTTATCGATTTGCACATTTTTGGTCCATAAAGTATTTTATGCACTTTTTTTATCCCTCAACTCAAAAAAATACACAATATTAATCCCTCCGTCAATTTTCTGTGACATAGCAGTTAAAAATTTTCACCTGGCATTTTCTTTTAATTCTTTTATGACATGGCAATAACACATTATATAATTTAATTATATATCCAAATAAAAATACCAACTCATATATCAAATCAGATTAGCATCTATATTTTTAATAAAAAATAAAAAACTACAAATTTACCTTAATGCTCTTGGCTCCCTTTCTTGATCCACCTCCTTCCCCTCTTTTGATCCACCTCCTTCCCCTCTTTTGATCCACCTCCTTCCCCTCTTTTGATCCATCTTCTTCGTTTCTTTCTTCTTTTTCTTTCTTCCTCTTCTTCCTCTGTATTGTTGGGTTCCCTCAAACCCAGCTAATCTAGGTTCAAGAGAACCCAACGCTGGGTTCCTCAAACCCAACAACTGGGTTCCATCGAACCTAGCTTCACTTTTTTTTTTTTGGTTATATATTTGTTGCGAAGAGTTTATGCAAATTGCAGATTGTGAGGGATTTTTGGGAACCTTTTGTTTCATATTTTCTAATTATTGTCTAAATGATTTTAATGTTCAAAATAAAAAGAACATCATCGGCGATGGAAAGAACAAAAGCAGTGACTGATGGACAAAGAAGCAATTTTTAGTGGGTTTCCATTTGCTTGGTTAGAAAATTATATAGTTTGGGTGTTTGGATGCCAAGAAAATGGTTTCAAGTTGTTTGGTTGCTGAGAAAATTATAATGTCTGTTAAGAAAATTTGATGAAAAAATTGTGTTTTAATTATAAATTAATTAGAATCTTAATTTTGATTAACATAAGTAATTATAATTTAATGATGATTAATTAGTGAAATCTAACTTGGCACCATTTTTTATCCATATAAGCATTTAGATTTAATTTAATTT